CTATGACTCTTTAGAGAATCTTTCTCTGTGTGTTATTTAGGTGACACTTCTCAGAGAACCAGTCTGGTACAATCCACAAGAAAATGTTTTGGAGTCTGTAAAATATTCTGTTAGTGAACAGAGATGGCTAGAGAGTAGAGGCAAAGAAAATGGCCCTCATTTAAAGGAACAGTCAGGGAGAACTCTGTACTTTCTATCCTCAGAAATCTGGGTTTGGGGGCTGAGGAAAGAAATATTGGAAAAAGCCAGTGTGAGTCAGAGGCAAAAAGAAAGTCTGATTACTGACATTTAGAAATGGGAAGAAAGGAGCTAAAGGTGTAGGGAAGGTGGGATGGGTAGGGGAAGGGTAATAAGGTAAAAGAAAAAAATGTGAGATAATGAAAAGATGAAAATAAAGTGATTGTAGATGGGGAGAGGAGGAGGGGGTGAAGGGAGGGCAGGGGTAAAGGGAAAAAATGAGAATCAAGACTTGCCATGTAGAGGTACAAGATCCCAATAGTCAATGTAATTGTACTGTATCCCTAAAATGTACCAATAAACTCAATTAAAGCTGAAAAAAAAAAAAGAAAAAAAAGAAACAGTCTGGAAACTTGGCCTGGGAAGTAGGGTCAGATAGTGAGATTGAACAAAGATTTAGCATGGAATTCTGAATTTATAAACCAGAGAATTAAGAATTTAAGTGTGTATAAGCAATGCCAAAATGGATAAACAAGAAATGACAAACTCTCCAATCTTTTCATTCTACTTGGAGATAATAAAAACCATCTGTTCTACCATTTTTACAGCTGCTTCAAAATAATTATACTTAGGTCTTACCTAAAATTGTACTTTATATAAAATAATTTAAATGGAACCTTACTCCTTGTTGTTGGGTCAGTTTGCTTATTCAATGGCATTTTATTTAATAAGTTTTTACCTATTATGTCTATGTGTGTCTTGTACCAAACTGAGTATGAAGTTAACAGTTCAAACTGCCTGTGCAGGATAAAATAAAATAAAATAAAGAGAAAATAAGTGCAATTGTTTGAATTGTAAAGAATGACAGAATAAGAAGTAACACTGTAATTTGAAGTATTTTTAGTCAGGTTTGGTGCCAGCATCTAAAATGACTCAGTGTTTACAATGTGCTCAATAAAACAGTAATCTCAAGTTTATGGCAGTATTAGTATATGCGATTATTGTTATCTCAGCTCAAATAGCAGTCTTCAGGAAAGTCTTGTACCATGTTTTCCATTTAATTGGTTGGAAGTAAATGACAGTAAAGTAACCCCTAAGCTGGGTTGAATTTCTGATAAACTCATTTATACTTATACTCTATGCCAGTGGAGCAGAAGGTGCATAACCATGAAAAAGGGGAGAATCTCCATGCATTCCATTGTTATATATTTATTCTTCACAATTAAATCTTCACAACCCTACAAGAAAGGAAGTTTCATACCATTGTTTTGCAGATTGAAAAATTCAGACTAACCTCAGTGATACCCAGCAGAAGCTCCACTGTCCATGTGATGTACTTCAGTTATGGACAACTCAAGAAAACACTAAACCCAGGAAAATAGATGCAAAAATGATTGAAGAGGTATGATGAAGGGTTAGTGAAAGAGAGATCAAAGGAAGGAAAGATGGTGTAACGAAAAAGGATCAACTTCACAGCAAGAAACAGGAGTTAAATAAGCATTGGTATCCTGAAACTCTCAGTGTTGGTCTTCCTTTATGTAAAAGATAATTCCTCTTGAGTATCATGACTGAAAATCTGAAACATAGTGAGCACTGACACTGACCGTACAAGTGTAAAACTCTGCACTTCAGTTCATATGACAAATCAGTGAAAACGTAGGTTCACTAAGAATGGTGTATAAAGTTCAGGCTAAGTGCATAAATACATTCTATGTTTAGACTTGGGTCCAATCCTCAGGATATCTCATTGTGTATATGCAAATATTCTAAAATCTGAAAGAAGTATCAAATCTAAAATACACCTTGTCCCACACATTGCAAATAAAGGATGATAAACACAATAACGGTATCTATTATCCAAGGTTTGTTTAGAGGGTTAGACGAAACAATGAATGTAAAACAAACAGCCCATCTTCTTTGTTTCTTGTCTCGTTTTCTTTTCCACTTTTTTCCTTCACAAATTTGCCTTATGGTAGTCTCAATTCTAATAGGAGATAGGAAGTCAAAGTTAGTTGACAGAACACATGAGAAAGGAAGAAAAACAATGGCAGTCATTTTTTTTTAATTACAGAAGGTTGTGCTTTGATATGATTTAAAACTCATTTTTGTGAAAAATGGATATGATCTTTTAGGCTTGAGCATTCAATTCTTATTTTAGGGACTTCACAATATTGGGAAAAGAATGCATGGAATTCCACTTTGGCATTTTTCAGTGGTACTTTCTCATGTTTCCCATCAACTGATGCCTCTAATTTGTGCTTTCCCCAGCATATCATGTGCTTCGCATGAACTCACAAGATTGAAGGCATATGGGTGCACGTTCTTTGATTGCTCCATTGCCACTTCATGAACTCATGTTGATTGTTTTTTCTTTTATCCAAATTAAACCCCTTTGTCTTCTTCACCCCAGGTATTTGAACAAAGTAAAGCTGCACTCATTCATCTTTATACATCAAATGGACTAAGTACAGTGCCACAGACATAGCTTGCATCTAATAAAAATTGTTGACAAAGTAGCCTGACTTGAACTCTAGGCAGGAGAATTAGGATGACATGTTGAAATGTAGGGTGAAACAGTCATTATTCAGATTTTGGTAAATTTCAAACTAGCTGATAAGACAGGCTTGTAGCTCAATGGTAGAGGACTTCATAGCATGCAAAGTTCTGGGTTCAATATCCACAATCCAACAGAGGAGGTAGTGGTGAGACTGACTGAGACTGGAGTGAAGCCAGGACAAAATTCAAATCCTAATACTACAATTGGAAAAAACAAAACAAAGACAAAAACAGAAAAGAAAAACAAAAAGAGAATCCCTGTGTTTTATCCCTAGTACTGCATGCAAAAAAGGAGATAGAATAAAGAATTTGTCTTTATGTTTTTTATTGCTATTATAAAATACCTGAGGGTAACTACTTCAAAAAGAAAAAAAGGTATACATAGCTCACAGTTTTGGTGATGGGGGAGCCTCACTGTTTCAGTTTCTAACGATGGCCCTCTTGGCTGCAACACAGCTTGGTTGATGGCCTTATGGCAGGAATGTACGAGAAAGGGAGAAATCATATAGCAAGAACTCCAGCCCATTAAAGGTTCTATCAGCACAATGAATGGCAAGCCTCTAACACACAAACCCTTGGGGAAGAAGCATATTTAAGCCATAGCACCACTCCAACCACCTAGTAAATAGCCACCTAGACAGTGGAGCAAGGCTGGAGTATGACCTTGCATTCATGGTTCACCCTAAAGGCTCCAACAGACCACCCTTTCCCTTTACTCTGCCTCTGCTTGTGCTTCTGTTTTTGCTTCTACATTTCTTATTCTATGAGCATCACCAAAATATTTTCTGAGAAGGAATATGATTAGGCCATGTATCACCTAATACTGAAAAGATTTTCATATATGGCACTCCAAAATCTTGAGGGTCAGCCCACGATGATTCCTCTAGGATTGACTATTGACCGTGGTCTAATAAGCACACCCAGAGGATACAACCCTATGATGCTGGTGACCAACGTTGAAAGATGGCTGAAGGGAACTGGCAGGCAGCTAGAAATTTATAGTTGTCATAGCTGTTTGCCATATGAATCATTGTGCTGAAATTAAGCTAGGTTTGCTAGGATTAGATTTAGAAAATAAAAATATAGGGCTTTCCTCTAGTGAAGGTGAAATTCTATATGTGCAAGAAATAATATTAGCTGTAATATTTGGGACATCTTTATATGTTGCTAAAACGATTCTTGTGTTCCATAGTATTCATTTTTTTCCATCAGGAAAAAACAACTTAGATGTAGTAGAAAGATGGATGGAGGAAGACAACAGAGAGCTTAAAGGGTGGGACAGAAAGATTAATTACAAAAGTAGAGTTGGAACAATTTTAGGAAAAAGTGGGGTTTGAACTGGGCCATATGAAGTAGGTAAAATTTCAGCAAGTAGGGGAGCAGGAACAATTTTGTAGGCATAGGGAACACTGTAAACAAAGATATGAATGGGCTGAATGTAGGGGCCCATGGCTCAATGGACCTGTACTTGCCACGGAAGCACAGTGTGGAGTACGTATTATTCCAGGTGGATGATTTATGACTATCAAAAAGAGTTTTGGACATGGTAAAAGCAGGTCTGTGTTTAGGGGTCAAGAGAATAAAAGGTGAACGATCAGAAAGGTGAAAGAAAGATCAGAGGCCTGCAGATCAGTTCTAACGCCACTGCAATAGCTTAAGGGAGTGTAGAGCTGGAAAGGACACCGGTTTTTGAATGGGCCTTGGGTAGAATAGTAATCCTTAAGTAGCCACCAGGAAAACCCAGGTAATCTGGATCTCATTATGTTTTCTATAAAATACTGCTAAAACTTACACAAGTCGGGGGAGAAAAGTAAATGTATGAAATACATGGTGTTGGTCATTACTCAAAAACAGATATTTAAAAAGTTTCTCCCTCATTCTTTGTTAGTGTAGCAGGTAGGACTTGAACGACTGCTTTTGGTACTTGGTCAATCTCTTGTTTTACCTGTGGGCCCTTTCTGGACAGCGCATCTTTAAAGATCACAGCCCTGGTGTCTGCTTCTGCTAAGCGCCTTTGTACACAGTGGGCCCTCAACAAAAACGTGTGAATCTTCAGCACATGTGTGATGGAGGGATGGGTGTGAAACCGCTCCACGTATCCCCTTAGGCCCCCTGGATCTTGCCTGAGAGATTGCTCGCTTCAGAGCAGCAGCGTGGTCCTCAGCAGGGCCACGCACAATCCTCCTCCCGCCTGCCAGTCGCAGGCGAAAGGGTGAGGAAAGCAAAGGACTCACTTCCACCCTGAAGGGAAACCCCCCTCCTCCAGGCCCTCGAGCTCTTTCTCCGGAATTGCTCGCTCCGCTCCCCTTCTTTGGGTTTCCTTGCTGTGCCCAGAAGCAAAGGCGCGGTTTCCCAGAAGCTGCCGGCCGGGAGGCAGCGGCCAAGCGGGTCGGTGAGCGGGGGTGCGCGGTAGGAGGCGTCGGGAAAGGGAAGGGACTCCACTAACTTTTTAACTTAGCCTCCGGGACCCACGGAGACGTTTTTGTCCGAGACCCAGCCCGGCGAGCGTCTCCGGCCTTGAAGGAGGGAACACAACCCTGAGAAGCCGTCCCCCAGGCGACAGAGTCACCGCCCACGCCGCTCGCAGGAAGACCCCGCGCTGCCCGCCACGGCCTCGCGCGCACCAGGCGGCGAGAGACAGACCTCAGAGATGGGCTTCTTCAGCCTCTCCGGCCTCGCCCTCGTCGCGGCCCTGCTGCTCCTACTTTTGTGCCTGCACGCCCGACGCACCAGGTAAGCTCCAGGGCCTTCTGGCCACGCATGCGCCCTGGCCCGCGGCCGCGCACCATCGCGAAGGAGAAAGGATCCCTCTCCGCTGTTTGCAGCGCGGACAGAACTTGCTCCAAGCCGCTGGTGTCCTTTGGGAGAGTGTATATAACAAAGGGTGCTCCTGTTTCTTTCCCCTACATACGCATACATATTAAAGATTTGGGGATGGATTTGATTTACTGCTCCAGCATAGGTTGTAGTAATTCCCTGGGTTCGCTGCGTGCGTTGTGTGTGACGTGTGGCTTTCGTTTGCACGGAGACGTTTTTGGGCCATGTTACTGTGAGTTGGGGCTTTATGGCCTAGGATTCAAATAGCATTTCATGAGGAAAATGTTCTTACATTTCTTTCAGTGAAGGGGAATGTTTCAGGAAAGAGCCTAAAGTGCAAGTCTAGACAATAACTCTGGGTGCTGGTCTGTGCCTCAGTTTACATTACTGCACCTCATCTGGAGAAGTGAAATAGTAGTACTTACCGTATAGGACTTTTATGAGTACAAAATGAATTAATAGTTTGTGTTTATGCATTTGCTGTATTATGTTTATGTTTGTTTTTTTGTTTTTTGATACAGGGTCTCACTGTGTAGTAGAGACTGACCTGGAACTCACTATGTAGCCCAGGCTGGTCTTGAACTCACAGCCATCCTCCTGCCTCAGCCTCCCTAGTGCTGAGATTACAGGCGTGCGCCACCACGCCCAGCTCTATTATTTTTATTAAGGTGAAAATAACTAATAACCAAATCCAGAAATATGTCCCTTCATTTGACTTGCAATATGGAAATAGAAACAGAAATGTTCACACAAAACTCTTCACTTTGAATTTACTTTATATTTCTTTTCCTTTTTTAGTGTATATTAGTACAGTTTTCTGACATTAAAAACATTTATTTGTTTATTTATTGGAGTACTAGACTTTGAACACAGAGCCTAAGTAGTGAACTACATCTCCAGCCTTTAAAAAAATTTTTTTTGAAACAGTCTTTGTAAGCCTCTATGTTGCACAGGCTGGGCTTGAATTTGTGATCCTCCTGCCTCAGCACCAAGCACATAAATTGGGGGGGGTTGTAACTGGAATCTTAATATATATATATATATATTTACATACATGTATGTATCAACATATACATTTATATGTGTGTGATATAAGTTGTTTCTGATTTTGGGGAAATGGCACAACTGTATTCTACATAAATATCTGTGGACATTTCTAGAATGCCCATGGATAAATATGTAGATAAAATTAATTATTTTTTCCTTTCATGTGAGTTTTCCGAGGGATTTCTAGATGTGCATACCCTTTCCCAGGTTGTCTTCTCCAGTGGCTGTGCCTTTTGCGTCACAACCAAGAGAATTAGGACACTAACTTCAGTGTTGCCTGATTCTGTATAAGTTCCACCTTCACTATTTGCACTTAATATTCATATTTAGGTGTATCTTTAAAGAGGTGGTAGACAAGAAGGCTGTTTGTTCTGCTCCCACTTTACATGCAGGGCAGAAACAGACAAGCTGACTGGGGCATTCGGGATCATTGAAAATAATTGGCGTGAGAACGTGGAACTTGTTGAAAGTAGAGCCCAAAATGCAATGTGGGAAAGCAGGCATCCTTCTTAACTATTCTGAGAACAAGTTGATCTTCCTTTTTACTACTGAAAATTATTTTGTAGTGGTATTCATGCTATCAGTTGTCAATTACTTCTAACTGCGAAGATACAATTTAATGCATATCTACAGGGCTTTACATTCTAGAGAAGTTTGATACAATATAGTTCCAAACACAAAACATTACACCATTTGCCCCAGTGTGTGGATCAGTTTGTTGTTACCATTTCTTGAGTTTGGATAATGTGCTCTAATACCCGAGAAAAATGTCATCTCTAAGGTAAAACCATGGTTAGAAATTCCCTATACAGTCTTACAGATTTTTTTAAATCCTAATACTGATATGTTTGAATGTATATTAATAAAAATAGTAGGAAAATATACTTTGTTGAAACTTGCATTTTGCCCTTTACAATAAACTTTAGATACCTTTCTATGTCAGTTTATAAAAATCATTATTTGTATGTTTAAATGGAGATATGCCAACCCTTCACCAAACGGATAACTTTGGGTGCTTGGGGAAATAATTATGCAGGATTATGAAGTTTTCAAAGTGTATATGTGCTTTTACATTTTAATTGATATTAAACTTCCCTTTCATTTTGTGTTACTATTAATGATCTGAGTACCTATTTCCTTACATAGTGGTAATACTAATATTATAAATCATTTTGATTTTGTTAATCTGATCCCTACATAAAACAAAACATTTTAAAATCCCAATTTCCATCTGGGGGAGTTTGGATGTCTTCAAAGGAAAAAAATGGGATCTCTTTTCTTCTATTGCATATTTATTTTCCTCTTTGATTATTTTTCTATTTCATCATTAATGGCTCTTGAATGATAGGGGTTTTAAACTCTTTTATATCCGATGCATTTATTTTCACTATTGTAATTTGTATTTGTTTAAGAGTTTCAAGATATATTTCCTTGGGCCAGGGATTTACCTCAGTGGTGCTGCCACCTGCCACAAGCACCAAGGTCTGGAGTTTGATCCCCAGTACTAAAAATAAAATTTTTTCCTTGCTTAGAAATCACTGTCACATTCCACCATGACAAAAATTCCCTCAGAATCAATTTGTTTTAATTCACACATACATCAGTTACATTTTTATTCTAATTCTATTCTTATCTTTTGAACAACTGTGTCTGAAAAGTTTGTTATATAGTATGTTATAGGAGAGCTGGATGTTCCAAAGAAGACATTTCAATGTTGCTGTGTTAGTCAGCTTTTTATTGCTGTGACCAAATACCCGAAGTAAACAAATGTGGAAAGGTTCATTTTGGCTTAGCTTCAGGGGTTTTAGTCTATTGTTGACTGGTGCTGCTGCTTTAGGCCTATGTCAAGGCAGAGCATCATAGCAGGAGACTGTGGCAGTACAAACCTGCTCAATTTATGGAAGCCAGGAAGCAGAGAGAGGAAAAGCTTGCCAGAGGAAGGACCAGGAGACATGATATTGTTATCACAATTGTGTTACAAATTTCACTCATACTAACAAGACCCCATCTTCTGATTCCATCACTTTCCAATAATGCCATCAAAGTATCATCTAATCAATAAATTAATCCATTGATGGAGTTAGAACCCTTATGAACTAACTGCCTCTGGAAATGCCCACAATTATTTAGTATGCTTTTCTAATTTGCTGGGCTTTTATAAGTCCAATCAAGCTCACAATCAAGATTATCCATAAAATTACCTATAAAATTGGTAAAATTGAAAAAAAGAAACAAACAATAAGTAAGAACTACCTTACAGGTCATTGACTGCTTGTTATTGATTCTGTCTCTTGACTGAAGTACTCTGATTGTTCCCTTCCTACTTTCCTCCTTTCATTTCCCTCTCTTTCCCTCTCTTTCTCTCTCCTCCTTTTCTTTTTCCTCTCTTCTCTCTTTCTTTCTCAGGGTCTCGCTGTGTTGTCCAGGCTCGTCTGCATCCCCAGGCATAGGTAATCATCCTGCCTCAGTGTGTTAAGTAGCTGGAACTATAGATGTATGCCGCCATACCTAGCCCCATTCACCATGCGCGCGCGCATGTGTGTGTGTGTGTGTGTGTGTGTGTGTGTGTGTGTGTGAAATTCTTTTTCCCTATAGTGTGACAGTCAACCACAGAAGCCATTGCATCACCCCTGAGGAGACATAACAGTAACTTAGCCTAGGGTAGATGAAAAGTGGTTAGAATCAGGATTTGCTAATGGTGTGTGAGGGAGAGAGGAATTAATAGTGATGTTTCAATCTTTCTTATTTTGGTGTGTGGTCAGAGTAGATGGTGATACCATTTACTGAGAGAGTGAGATACATAGATACACATGTAGATATGTAGATATATGTCACCCAGAAGATTAATGGATCATAGGATAAGGACTTTTCTACCTGAAACCACTCTAGAAAATTCCTACTTTTCCAAAATAATATTATTGTAGTTAATCATTTTCAACATTACATATGAGAGTACAAATTGTTTTATATATCACTAATATTTTATAAGACCATTCCATTGGTTTAAGCATCTGTTTATCTAAAATCTAGATTTTGTTGCCTTCCTATGAAGTATTGATTTAGTTTTGGCTTGAAGATACATTTCTGGCTAATTATCTTGAACTTGTTGAAGCTTAGTTTTATCTTTTTTCAAAGTGAGCGAGGGGAAATCTTCAGATATTTGCAGACTCCCATTTTGGATGGTGCTATGGTCTGAATATTTGTGTTCCCCACAAATTCATAATTTGAAATCCTTTCCCCACTGCAGTTATAATCTAATGAGGTGTCATATAAGGACAGCAAAAAGATGGCCATCCATGAAGCACAAAGTAGGTATTTACTGGATGCTGAATCTACTGATGCCTTGATCTTGGATTTCTTAGCTTTCAGAACTGTGAGAAATAAATTTCTCTCTTTTGTGATATTTTGTTAGAGAAGCCAAATCAGACTAAGACAGATGAGATTCAAATATTAAATGCTGTCTCTCTAGTGGTGGAGCACATCTGAAACCTCAGTTTTCTAGCAAATATCCACCACCAGGCTCTTTGTACTCTTCTCTGCAAATGTACACTTCAGGGTTTGCCAAGAATTTGAAGGGTGGTATTAAGATTTCAGACAGTTGTTACCTCTTTTTAAAAAGATTTCTCTCCTTGATTTTCTGCCACTTCAGTAGCCGTAAAATACAACACCTCAAGTAAGTAGCTTTTTACTTGAGAAAATGTCTTCTATGTACCCTTTCAGTGTTGCTCTGTGCTTTAAGGTTTTCTATCCTTCAATCACCTGATTGGCTTTCCTGTTCTTCAATGAATATAAATTACTTTTTCAAATTCATTTATCTGGAGAGATTTTAGGTTAATTCAAACAATGTCATTATTTTGAGAAAATCAAAT